TGGCCATCAAGAACTCACTGGGAAATACTCAACGGTGATTATTTGTATTCTCCACGGTATTTTAAGTAGCATATTTACATCAAATTTCAAAATACAACCAATAGTTGCAAGAATATAAACCTTAGTCCGTCTTGCTCATCCCTTCTCTAATGCGCTCAATCAGCTTAGGTGAGGCTTGAACCACTTTTATGTTATGGAAAATTGAGGGGTATGAGATATCATGGTTAGAAAGTTATTAGGTTAAATTTTATGTAAAAAATTATGTTCTCACATGTATTGAATTAGTTTATGTTACTGTTGTTTTTTAACTCACTCTCTAACTCTCTTTAGTTTTAGTGTATTTCTTGATAAACCCATTTGTCATTAATACCTGAAACTTAATGGGAAGGATTTCATTTATTTGGAGCAATTTGATGTGGTTGCAGAATGGTGTAATGATTAATTGATTAATGTTCAACTAAACATTGTGATGCCCTATTTTTTTCCTAAATGAGGGAAAAATCACATATATTATTCTCACAATACAAAGAAAATCAAAATCCTAAATTTTGAAACTTTAATTTCCTCATGTACAAATACTATAAGTATTATTTCTGGCTTTTTTTGGAATTTGGGAGGTCAATTAGCCTTCACTTCTTGGAGATTTGCTCTACCAGTGCCTCCAAATTTCAGTGTTAATGTATGATACATGTACATAGTGCTTTACGTACAAAATTCCCACAACGGTAAGAAAGATACACATTGTTGGCATTCTTAAGCATGTAGAAAGATAGAGGCTTTATGGCTCCCCAATACACTAGCCCCATGGAACAATTAGACAGAGTGGTAAGTAACCTCAACATAGTGAATGCACCCATTAATAGCAATTGATATACAATAGGATATCAAGCACAAAATGGTGAAAAAGGAAAAGGAAAGCATAGAGCCATTTTACATAGCTGGAATGCTATAAAATAAATGACCATAATATCAACTTAAGCCCAAATAAGTAATGAATTTTTATTACGTCAGAGAACAACACTATTTGGGGTATTTTTAAATCACTTTCATGGTTAGGCCTTAAATGTGGTCAGAACACAAAGTGATTAATTCTCCATATTTTAAAATCACATGACCAAGGCATAAAGCTTTGAAAAAAGTTTGAAGATGATCATCTTGACCTTGATCATTACGATTGTCAAAGACCTCACCTCAAAACTCATAAAAAATTACGGTTATGGTATCGAGAAACCTTTAAATCGATCATCTCAACCTTGATCATTATGATTGTGAACAAATAAAAAAAACATTTTAGGCCCTTAAAGAAGTGTATGCTGTCTAGACCGTCCATTCTCAAAGTGTGCGTGCATCCATAAGATCTATATCATTTTCTGAGCTACAAATTTCATAATCGATGGTGGAAGTAGATTTTGGAGCCATCTTAGGGATTTTCCATGTGCGTAATATTTCATTAAAATGATTTCGAGGTGAGGCTTTATTTTTCTTCATAAGGACTAAGCCTTTTAGAAACTGCATGCTAAAAATAAACTTATATTTGACAATATTTAATTTACAAAAACCTACTCCAAAATTATAATTAGTTATTATTTCAATTGGTCTCAAAAGGGTGATGACCTTACATATTCCTTTAACTTGTTCTAAGCATGGGTAAAGGAGGTGGGTTGTGTTAGGTAGGTAGCCAACATAAAAACTTTGTTAAAACTTTTCGTATAGCCGGCCCTAATTAGTTGGGAGAAGGCTTTGATAATGACAACGATGAATTATTTCTATTATATTATTGTGAAAAGGACAACATGTTACACTACAAGATATATGAAGATATTTTGATCACAAAGATCTAATATACTATATCTCAAAAGAAATCCACTGAGTCTCTTAATTATCATATTGTACAATGAGGCTTTGCAAAAATGTGACTCTTGTGAAAATGTGAATCCTAGAATTGGTATACTTTGGAATTTTCATTTCCTAGAATATGGGTGCATGCTGTTTGGATAATATCAGTTAGAGATCAGGAAGATACAAATTCACTATTTGGATTGCCTACAAAATGTTTGTCCTGGAAATTCAGAATTTTTATAAATTATTATTTTTTAAAAAATTAACCAATTCCGGTGTTGTGATTATTGAATCCTTTTTTCGTGTTTGTCCAAAATAAGACGACATTTCAAAGTGTGCAATAGGTCTGAATTTCGTCTCATTTGCGCCCTCAAATCTTATTGCTATAACATTTCACCAAGATGAATGCAAGAGAGAGGGAGAGGAGACGAATGCAAGAGAGAGGGAGAGAGAGACGAATGCAAGAGAGAGAGAATGAACTCAAGCGGTCTATACCATAGATAAACATTCACAAATTACATAGCTTAAAACAATATATCTGAAGTCTACCATACACCATTTTCAATCTATATTAAAAACCCATGTTCTAAGTTACTTCAAAATTTTTCTCATTATTACCATGACCGTTTTATTAGAGATATAGGAAGTAAATATAAAATCGATTCAAAGTCCAAAAGTTCATTTGCGTTGGTCCATTTTTAATCTTTCGAAACTATTGCAAAGGTTGCACTATCCATGTCCACGACGAAAACCTGGTCCATGAGCCGCATAGGAGGTAGAACAAAGTCGAATCTCTTTGAAATAACTTCACTAGCCTACGCACATGCACATTGTAAAGGTTTACTTGTACCTGCATGCAGGTTTTTTAAACTATAAAATTACACCCATTTTTATAAATTACCTAAACATACTCCTCTCAACATATCCAGGTATCCTCCTCATACCTTCGTTGAATTGGAACCCAGGCTGATCAAGGAGTTGTTTAACAATTCTTTTTGCAAACTTCAACCATTTAATTCTTGATTAAAACATGTTTATGGTAAATTCAGGTCCATACTCTCTCCGCTCCTTTTTTGGCAGGCTCGTGGCACCCACTTCCACCATGGTCTCGAACAACATTTTTTCATGGTCGGGAGCCTATTTGACACGCCTTATTTCTTCACCACTTGATAGAGTATAGACGACAACCATCCTGGATTTCACATCAAACATATGTCTACGTTTATAAATTGCATGTGTAAAACTTACGAAGCATGTATTTTCCATACCCAAAAGGCCAAAAAACAAGCTCAAATTACAATCCCAAATTTCACAACATAAACTAAATCATGTCATTCCATTCGCATAACATTAATCCAAACTAAAATACAAGTCCAAACAGTCAGCAAGTAACAACAAAAAAGAACTAGTGTACTTCCCAAACCATATGCAATTCTAAATGCTCCTCCATTATAGTTTAAAATGGAGTTAGTGAGAAAAATAGAGATTAAAAGATAATGATTTCAGCATATTTTTCATGACATAAGAAAAATACAAAATAAAATTGATATCATGTACATGAGAATTGCGAGAATAGTGAGAGTCTTCAAAGCACTCCCACTTCACTGCATGGCCATAGGTCCTTGGTGAGCAGGTTGTTGTTGACTTTGATATGCACAATGCCATGCTTTAGCCTCCTCAATAGTTGAATAGGAGCAATACAATAGAACTCCAATACTTGGCTAGAGCATTCAACCTAGGTCATATACAACCCAAGTTTACGGCCAACAAATACAATATATAACCTAGGTATTTTCTTCAACGGGAAGAATATTACATGACATAAAAAACATGGGAACAAACCGCACTATCGGCATACCATGTAGCTCCACTCCATACCTAATCAATTTTGTGCATGTGATCCATGCTTTGCGGTTGAAATGGATATTTATTTCACATGAAATAGTGGGAAGACAAGCAACAATTTGATTAGAGAATGCAGCTATAGAGAATGCACCAGCAAGTTAGCGCGACTCGCACCACACAAAAAATGAAGGTTAAGTAAGTTTTCTGTTAAGGCAACGAAATGCAATCTCGATCTTTAAGCCTGAATCTCTTGGATTGGATCAACATAGGCAACGGTGAAACGTGCTTTGCTCGACCTTCCCCAAAACCCGAAGCACTTTGCTTTGCGGGCGGATGGCGAAGCGCACCCATGAAACATAGGCATACTATTATGAATTTACCCTCATTCCAAGAGGTGACCACCCCTTCAACCTAATTTTTATGGACGTCATCTTCATTCTAGAGAGAGACGTTTCATACCCATCCCAAGCAATCACATAGTAAGGAAAAGGCATATCATTTCAATCAAATTGTTCCATGTCATTTGCTCAAATAGTCAACTTGCCGTGTTCAAGCCTGTCATTTCTAGCAAATCTCAATTCGCCTTATTTTGGTGGAATTAACCTTTGAAGCTATTTGGCTTAGAAGGTGGAAATATGAATTCCTATGGGAATTTTAATCCACGATTTTTGAATAGTTCCTTAAAAATGTGACTCCCCAAAATTCAAATCTAGGGAACCAAAAAATGTAACTCCCCCAAATTGGAAACCAAATGGTACAGATATACTTTATTACTTTTAAAGTTTAGAATACTTTTATGTAAATGCAAGGCTCTAAACAATTAAATTAAGGTACATCTCAAAAATTTCATTAAAAAAGTTTATTTTGATGTTAAAAAATTCTTCCGATTGATCATCTTGACCTATATGAACATGAAAAACAGCTTACTTTCAAGTTATTAAAAATAGTTCATCTGATAATGCGTTTTTGAGCATCAATTTTCAAGATTTTAAGTTCTAATCTACACTATTGTGAAGCTTTAAATTTTATAATTAAAAATAAAAATAAATTTTACGGCTATCTCAAACATTTTTCATGATCCCGTGCAATCTCGCTCGAAGAGAAGAAAAAGCCACGGCAGCTTCCCCTTGCAAATCCTAGATGGTTGAAGAAGAAACGCAGCAGCCATAAGCTCCACTACAGGTGCCCTTTGCAAACCCTAGAGGGTTAAAGAAGAAATACAGCAGACGTAAGATGAATCGCCATCATCAGAGAGCTCTAGCTGAAGAGATTTAAACCCCAAAAATAAGTGAGTTCTTATTATTATTTACTGTTTATTATGATGATAAACCCTAAATCTGTTTTTTCTTTTCCTGCTATTTTTGCTTATTCCTTCACGAATGTGCTTCAGAATTTTTTTTACTGTTTATTATTATTATTAATTATTATTTTCTGCTGGCTATTTGTATCATAGCACCTCAAAGATTTTTTTGTCTTGTTATTTGTACCAGAAAGATTAACTCGTTTTTTTTGCCCATTTTATTCACTTTGTGTAGATAGAATGAAATATATCTCAGAGTTAGGATTTTGATATTGTTGATGGTGTTTATGGGGGTTTTTCATTGAATCGAATGGGTCAGTAGAAATTAATTCTTTTTTGTGATTTTTTTGCCCATTTTTTTCATTTTCTTGTGCTACTTTTTTTTTTTTTTTTGAGAGAGAGAGGTTTAATACCATATCAGTTGGTTAGTAGTCGTATTTTTTTTAGTGAATTTGAGATATTGAAATTCGAGATTTTTTATTGGTTTCTCATTTCTCTTTGGATGCTATCTCTTTGATATGTGTTTCTCACAATATTCAGAAGTATGGGATTCGAAAGTTTCCTTGTTAATAGATACCATGGCCAAATGCTTTGATTTCACAAATAATATGTGAAGAAGATCAGAGAAAGCAATGTGCATTTCAATTATTCTCTTTCTAATTTTCTGAGTTCTAAATTTATCAAGTTCTTTTATTAGAGAAGAGTAAGCAAAATCCAACTCGATTTCTTCCCTTTCTTGTGATTTGTTCCTTCATTTTTACATATTCATCTCTTTATAAACACTGCTGATTTTTAAGATTTTGTTTTTTATTTGTTCTTGGTTTTTATTTGTAGAGTGGAAATAATTATATGATGCTTATTTTGTCCTTTTGTCATGCAATAACTTTTGCTAATTTCTACTTTTTATTCACTGTTAATGTTTGTTATCTTTGTTTTGTTTTTTGTGTTCTTTTGCACGATGATATTTCAGTATAGTCTAATTTGTTTTTTGGGCAATATGATGGGGGAAGCTAGTGAAGTGTTTTTGTTTCCCTATGAATTCGTTCCTAAAATATTTGGCACCAACATTTGGCTCTAGATGTTGGAGAACTGACAAGCTATTTAATTGTCTTGTGCATTACATGTTATTAAAATCCCAATGAGAATTTCAATCGGTGTAAGAAATGGCCATTGCATTCAATGTTAGTGGCATACTGAAGAACCACCATTTTCATGTAACATGTGGGTCTAGAGAGAGAGAGAGCATTAGATGGGGATGGACTTGGTGACAATATTCTTCAATATTTATGTAAATATTGGTATTCCGTGAATCCATTTTCATTTTTTGTAATATGTTGGATGAATGGAAGGAACCTTATTTAAATGCAAAATATTTTTAAAAACTTCATTTCGCACATCATATCAATGAAATACATAATGAACAGTATTACAAGCAGTTTCCAGCTTTCCCAATGAAATTACCAGTACCACAGTTTATCAAATAGCGTTTCCAGCTCCCTACCAATTTTCACTTGCTTCCCATAATCTATGAAAGTCAACAGCAGGGGTGATTCCCAGGGACACTACAATGGAAGTTATCAAACGCTAGTTTTAACCTTTTCCTTTATTTTCGGATTGGCAAATCTGGAAAATAGGCCCAACTTGAGAACCTCAAATCTCAGATTTCAGCTGGGTGCCAAGCAGATCTCAGACCCAAATTCTAGGTTCGATCGAGAGAGAGATATTTCAGCTGGGTGCCAAGCAGATCTCAAGACCCGAACTCTAGGTTCGATCGAGAGAGAGATGGGAAGGTTGAGCATTGCAGTGGTGGTGCTTCTCTGGTCTCTCCCCATTTCCATACTCTTCAACTACATCGTCCCTGATGCTTACATGGTTCTCTCTCTCATCTCTTTTATGGATTATGATTTTTGGTTCTTTTTTTTCATTTTTGAAGAATATAGACAAATCTCTCTCTCCAACTGAAGGAAATTTTTAAGGGGTCGTGGTTTTGCAGGATGAGATATTTCATTTGCCACAAGCTCAAAAGTATTGCAATGGAGATTTCAGAAGCTGGGATCCCATGATCACCACCCTCCCTGGCCTGTAAAGTCCCTAAAAGCCATTCCTTTACTATTCCAACTATTTCCTATTGAGCAAAATTTGTGATGTCTTCTGTTAAATTTCTAAATCTTTGATTTCACTTCAGAGTAATTTGGTTTCTATCTTTTTGTTTCATGCTCATATCATGATCTTTTGCATAGAATTACTGATGGCAATCTTATGAATATGTTGAATAAGTTTTGCCGACTTCCGTTGATGTATTGAGGTATTACACTATCGGGGTTTGTATTACAGAATTGTGGGTGTCTATTTCTTTGCAAAAAAGTTTGGTGATGCTAAAGGTGCTTTGGTGTATCAAAATTTGAGATTGGAGTTACTTAGTTTGGTTGGGTGTAGGGCTGTTTTTTTTTGTTTTTTTTGACAAGAAGAGGGAGAGAGAGTCTCCTCTTTGGCCAGATTGTCGGCAGCTGTCTTCGCTTCTCGCCATGTTTGTGAAAAGGTAGCATTGATGGTTGAGCACCAGTTATGAATTTGATTGACTATTTGTGCCAGTCTTTGTGGGCACGAGGATGCTTTAAGTGCTCAAGCAATGACTTTATATGAGTCTCCTATGATCATATTGGTTCCTCATTCTAGATTTTAGTGGTTGAGGCCTGTAAGTAGTCCCAAAGCCTAAGTTCTTGATGCATCACAAAGACCTGTTGGTCCCAAGTAGGTAGGAAGGATCGGCCTGGCATTATGTTTGAATATGCCCCTGATACCAACAGGACCTGATTTCAAATTGCTGTGGAATTTGAGCTTGACTTCTGTGTATCTGGTGGCTTCCACATGGATGAGTTTTGGGAGTTACTTGGTTTGGTCCAAATAACGTGTTTCCATTGGCCATCAAAGTCAACAGAGGATAAGCCGAAGAAATCCTAGGTGCCATAGCCCAGGATATAATGTGCTTGGTATGGGTCAGAATGCTTAATTGAACTCTATGCAGCGGGTTCTTTCTAACCAAAGGGACCAGATGATGGTCACTGATGTCAGGAGCCATAGGAGGCATCTCCATTTTGGGAAAATTGGGGAAATCCATGGTTAAGAAAGGTATTTAATGGACTTTTGCCAGAGCCATGTAAGGTTGAATAGATCAATGAGTAAGGACCAGAGCAATGGGGCCGCTGTACAATGTAGAAATAGATGGTTGATGGACTCCTCCAACCTGCACTTGCCACAACGATTTGACACGGGTATATGCTTCTGTGTTGGATATTGTCTAGGGTTAGGGCTTTGAAGAATACCACTGTCCAGTCTGGGTCCTGAAGCCATGGGGGTATGCGATGGTCTAAGGGATTTGTGAGTCTACAGGACTCAAACCTGAGGAATATAGGACATGATCGAATACCTTTTGGAACTATGAGGTAATGCTAAGGTGTATCAAGAAGGTTGAGGAAATCAGTTGTCTCAGCATCAACAAGATTTCAACGAAATTGTGGTGTCCACACTCTGTCCTTGAATTTGTTGAGTGTTCCTCCACACCACTGAAAACTTACTGTATCGGGGTCAATGTTGTACACTCTGTTCTGAGTGTTATAAGCAAGCATATCGAGAAATACATTTCAAGAAAATCCATTTTATGTTTTACTTTATACTATAATTTAGTTTCTCGGTGATTCAAGTCGATGCTTTTTGATACCCTTTGTTTTCTTTTTTGGATCTTATACAATGGGTCCATATGATTGGGGAGAGTTAAGAAGTGCGTGTACTTGTTAGAAACCTCTAGTCTTTTCTCTCTACTTTGGTACTTCCTAATCCAGTATCCTCTCTGCACTCGCTGGCCAATTTCAGCTACTTGGATGCAATTACAAGAGGAGGCTTTTTGGATTGGTTAGTGGGAATTGCATCAACTAGTAGAGCTGCATTTATGTGATCATGCCTTTGCAGAAATCCAGTTACATGCTCTGAATTTTTTAATTTTAATTGCAATGATGGGTTGCTTAAAATTAGAGAAGCTCTATGGAAATCTCCTTAATCATTCTCCTTTTCTGATATCCCAAGCAAATTGGTGCTTGTGTGGGTGGTGGATGTTTGGGCAGAATTCCAAAACTACATTGTTTTTTTTTTTGTTTGGATAAATGTTAACTATTCCAAAGACTACATTGATATAGGTGGAGTTATTTTGCTCACAGCGTTTGATGGTATTTCTCTATTCTCAAACGAGACTTGAGGTTTTACAACTCTTTGCGTCTTTTGCTCCCTTCTAATTGATGGAATTTCACACAATTTGATCAATTATGTGTCTTAAGGAGAACGATTTCATTGGTGATTATTATTGCTCTGTGTGAGAAAATTTTCTTAAGGAGTTGTCATGGGTAGGGAGAGGACCTTGAGGCCCACAAAATGATGTTCCTTGAATCTCCATCGACCATGGGGGAGAGGCCCAAAGCTGGATTAAGTGTTTTCATCTTCTTTAGGAGAGCAATAGTGATGTAGCGAAAATTGAGGGAACAGTAAAATCAGCAAGAAACACGCTAAACACAAACATAATTTAAAGAAACCTAGGATTTCTTGTCCATACCACACGCTAGGGTTCCAAAAGCCTAAGCTTTGCTATTTTTCAATTTCTAAAAATCATGTGGAATTCACCCGCTCAAGGACCCACACACCTTATATATTATAATTCAATATTCAAAGATATTACATGTCCATATAATAATTAAAATGACCTATATATCTTAACTTAAACTTAAATTTTGTAATGACAGTTTTACCCTTGTGAACAATACCCATGAACAGTACATGTGAATAATACTCATGAAATAAATAAAAAAACTATAAAAACCCTAGAATTCATAAGAAAACTAAAAACCCCTAGAAATAAACCCTATAACTAAAATTATAATTTACATCCTTTAAAATTGAATAAAAATTAAAAATAAAAATAATTTTTTCCTCCATCATTCTCCCTTGGTTGGAGAAAACTCGCCATCGAGTTTAAAGTATGCTAAGATGAAATTGGCGTTAATCTGGCAACATTCTTCAACTCGAATATTGTAAACATGATCTTGGAACTTGTGGGTTATTTCACTAATCAAAACACATTGATTGTGCATTAGAACTGAGAAACCCTCGAGGAAAGGGTCGTTGTATATCGGTGGAATATTTTAATCACATAAATTTGTTGAAATTGCATCACTTCAGTCATGTAACCTTGTTGAATTTGCCTAGACTCAGCTCTAAAATAAACCATGGGTGCATCTTTGAGATCAACGACTAAACCAACAACTTCACCTATCAATTCTCCTTTGAATCCATTTTTTCCCTCGTTAAATACCTATTGAGCTAAAAAATGTTGATCATCATCGTATATTGCATATCCTACGAGATCTTGTCTTCGTCTAAGTATGCGTCGAAGATTGGTGGCAATCCCAATCTACATCCTGCTGATTTTCAATACGATCTATGTCAAAATCAAGAATCTCATCCTCCATATCGAAAACTCTAGAGTTATGTTCTCTACATCTAAGTCTTTTGTCTTTATCCTCATCACTTGACTCCCCACGCAGAGCATAAAAGTGAAAAGGCTTGTACTCGAGATCTTCTTGGGCTGAAAGATCACCATTTTGCCCATTATTGAGGCTCGCGAATTGCTGTGCCAGCTGCTGTACTTGCCTTTCAAGTTCCTCAATTCTGTCATCTATGGGATCACGGAGTGGATCTACGAGAATCCCCCTTCTACGGCCCCTTCTCCTTGCCATGGGTTCATCGAAATCACAAATCCTATGCAAATAATCAATAAGAAACTGCTGAAATCAGCAAGATCCAGGTTGTTTTGGCAAAACCTTAGCCAAAATCAGCAAACCCTAGATCCCCACTGTAACTTCCCTTCTTTGTTGTTGACCAAGGGCACTAAAAATTGGTGCTACAGTAATTTCGTACAGTGTTACAGTAACTCCGTACAGTACTACAGTACTTTCCGTATAGATCACGGGCTCTGATATCAATTTGATGCAGAGAAAATGGAGGGAAACAAAGCCAAACACAAGCATAATTTAAGGAAACTTAGGGTTTCTTCTCCATACCCTATGCTAGGGTTTCAAAATCCTAAGCTTTTCTATCTTTCAATTTCAAAAAATCATGTGGAATTCACCCTCTAAAGGCCCCACACACATTATAATATATAATTCAATGTTCAAAGACATAACATACCCATACGATGATTAAAATGACCTATATATTCTAACTTCAACTTAAGTTTTGTAATGACAGTTTTAGCCTTGTGAACAGTTCGGTGAACTGTATTCGTGAATAGTACTTATGAAATAAATAAAAAGACTATAAAAATCCTAGAATTCCTAAAACAACTAAAAACCCTTAGAAATAAACCCTAAAATTAAAATTATAATATAGATCCTTTGAAATTGAATAAAAATAGAAAATAAGAACAATTTTTCCCTCCATCAAATAGTTTCTGCCATTGTGGAATCAATGAAGCCAATGAATCTCAAAAAGGAGAGGAGTTGTTCCCTGAAAATTCCATTGAAGCCAGCCATATGAGGTTTGCCCAGGGAGCAAACATCAATGTTGAGTTTGATTGACCCTTCTTCCGGCTGTCTCTAGAGTGAGGAGCATGAAATGGCGAGTGGCCTTTCAGATAGCATAGCTATTCAGTTGTTGAGGAAGTCAACAGTGGCATTGTCATTGAAAGCTTTTGTGTTTTTTGCCCTGAAAATGATCATAGCTTTGATTCACTTATGCAGTGCATGAGTCATTGATTCCTTCGCTTCAAAGATTTTGTTGTCTCTCGATTTTGACCACCTGCATGGCTGCCACTGTTGCCCTCCAGAAAAAGATTCATGCATTCAACCAGATAAGGAGGATAAGAGCCTGAAATAGTTGCTGGATGGACTGCAGTAGGTTTGTAAAATGTGAGAGACTACAAATTTCATGCCACTTGGCAGTGAAGAAAGAGGTGTTTGTTTGGATTCTCTGCTGTTTTAGATATAGTGCAGTAGTTGGTTGTATGGATGCCCCTTCTTTGTATTTGGTTCCCTGTCAGG